GTCTCAGGGGTCAAGGAAATATTATAGAGAAGACTGCTGCAATGAATGTTCTTGGAAATGAAAGTCCAATATCTGTCTATACAAGAGACTCGGTCGGCAATAATAGATGATCTCTCCCCTTAACAAGTTACCAAAAAATTGCCAGCCACTCAAAATATAGGATCGAAAAATAGGAAATATGTTTTATAGGATCTTATAAAATATAGGAAATATAGGTCTAGGAGGTATGCAATGGTAAATTCCATGACATGGAGGCTGGCATATTGTTTTTCTACCATGCATTGCTCAAAACGACTCAATTTTTGCCAATAAAATGTGTCCTGGCTATTCACATGCATTTGTGTACAATTACTCTAATTCAGAGGGACTCAATTGAGCTATATATATAGCTACTAAAATATGGCAACATTATCATGTACTCAGTTGAGTAATACATATTTAAGGTACATGTTTCACATACTCTAATATTTTTGGTCCGACGAAAAGTCCTCCGGTCCTGTAAAAAATACAAATTTACAGGATCGAACCTGCTGTAAAATAAAATCCCCTGCGACCCCTGCTCCAGGTATATGTTATGAATTTTGAGAGCAGCTCACAATGACTTCAAGCTGCTACAAGAAGCTGTACAATGAGAAGTTCTGGCGTAAACGGCAACAAACTTCATAATATTACTTTGACCTTCAGGTCACGGACTGAAACACCCGAACCCAACAATGATACCCCCAACAAAAGTGGGCCAGTCGGTGACTATGTTCCTCCCTCTCCCTCCAATTTCCAAAGAATTCTGATTCTATAGATAGCCTTTCTCTGTCAGTACTATCACGTATACAGCATCACATCCAAGACGGTGGCTGTAATAATTGTATCTTGACTGCATCTCTGAAAATATTTAAATATGCAATTGTATAGAAAATTGCCAAACCGTGTTTTGGATTGGATAACTTCTTTTAATATCAGTGCAGCTAAACAGACTTGATCCCCATAACATTGCCATATATCCATACCGGTTAGAACCATTCGCTGGGTGCTATGTGAGACAATCGCTTAAAGCTCAGCTTTAAAAAGAACCAATAATAAATTTCTATAATTTTATAAAAGCTACGCATTTCGTCGCATGGTCGCCGAGTGATACAAGAGGTAGTAGGAAAAGCAGTTTGAATAGCATTTTTCTAGCATAGTGCCATCTTGCTATACACATGTACAAGCATGCACCATAAAACTCGCAGAACATTGCCATACTATCATAAAATTGTCGCTGGAACTTCGCCAAGCAGGGTGCTGAAATTTTAAACAAAAATTTGTGTGCCTTAAAAACAGCATAGATATATATATACAAACACACTATACAACTCTCCAATATTGGTGTTTCCCCCGGGAATTTCATATGGCACGTCACTTACGGGTGGATGGAAAAGAGACAGGGAGGGGGTCATACCAAATGGAGTCATTTACACGTGTCAAAAGCAGTCACAATACACAGGAAAAATTGCTCAGTTCGGAGACGTATAAATCAAGCCTGATTGTGCTGGGATTGCTACAAGTAACCACAATGGAAATTCAGACATGTCGATTTTAAGCAATTAAGGCATGTTGGACCCGACATGCGTTTTAAAAAGGCCTGGGAAGAACCATCTAACATATAACTGCAAAATTATCTTTTTTCATTTCGCATATTTTAAAAATTTACCAACAATGGCTTCTTGTATAACATATTTTTTGAAAGAGTGCAGAGATAAACCAACTACTTCTTTGTAGGCATAAACAGTTACTGATGAATTCCTAAACATTATCTAGCTATTTATTTGCTACTAATGTAATACCTGTGCTATTAATCTCTCTAATAAAATTGGTTTTGCATAATTCTTGAAACGGTACGATTTAAGGAGCATAAACCTTCTTCAACCAAATTTAGCTTTTGAAATTTCACTGTGACATTGTAGCCTCATACATCCAGGCATGTATAGATTCTACTAGCAAACCCGGCAGTCAAATTCTTTCTAACAGTAGGCCCTAAACAAATCCATGTTTAACCCTCCTCTTGAGGGTCAAAAGGTTATCCAACACTTACTCTTCACATGTCAGCAGAAAGTACATTTCATGATCTTTTCAATAAAGCCTTAAAAATGCTAGGTCACCGCTGAAACAAAAAAGTTTCCAATCGCTCCGTCAGACCATGTCCTCAGAAAATGTCTAAAATCTGACCTGTGCCCCATTGACCTTTGACCTCCAATTTCGGCACAGTGATGGCTTTTCCTACCATGATACACCGACTATCACGAGCCTAGGTCGAGCCGTTTAGATTTGTGCCGCAATTCTGCATTTCCTTCCTATACCTTAAGTTAAGGAGGGAATGTTCCCTTCTTTTACACCTCTTGACCTTTGACCCCCAGCTTCAACATCCCAACTCGTTTTCGGATTAACCCCCCACGTCCCAAATATCGTGACCGTACGTCGAGCCGTTTAGATTTGTGCCCAACTGTTGACGCACGGACGGACGGCTGCACGCTCATGCGATTCTACAAGCTGCATCTGACTATGTCAGATGAGCTAAACACATGGCAGCAGCTATTACATTTCGGGTGACGCCACGCGTGTACACAACAGGATTTCAAACGGAATTGCAAGTAGTGCTAAGACTTGTGAGGAATAAATGCATAAATACAGTGTAAAGTTGTGGAAAGTGTTAAAAAGCCAGATCATTTTGCGTTTTGTGAGCGATTTTTTGTGGGAACTTTGGGGAGCTGGTGCAGCTGCGAAATCTAGTTCAAAATGTTCTATATAGCCATGCGGCAGTCACTGTACGCGGGCTATAGTACTAGAGCTAGTACCATACGTACCTGCAATGAACACTGCAAGACACAAACATTTGTCTACATATACTTCAACATTGTTTTGTTTTAGGGGTAGGACGATACGAGTAGCTCACAATATGATCCATATCACAAGACACTTCTCACGACGCAATACGCATTGCGATATCATCACTACACACTAGCGAAACTATCAAGCCGTGTTAATTCATCACAATTTTGTACAACTTTTAGGCAGCTTTCGATTTATTTAGTATTCTAACGCTTTTATTATTTATAATTATACAAGATGACTAAAGTACACCCAAACAGCACTTAGCGACTGTTGGAGTGACGTTTCTAGTAAAAGTTTCTGCGCCATTCAATTTGTTCAATCTCCAACCACATTAGCCAGACTTATGTGAGAAATGATGTTAGGTAAAAGTCCTTTGGTAAGCATGCCTTAGCATTTGCATGATAATGAGGAATGTTTGGCTGGGCACAAGAATACACGGAACCTAGGATTCAGTCAATCATGTGAACGCTTGCAAATCAGTATCGCACACCATTTAGTTTTAACAACTGCTAGTGCATTGCAAAATGCGTTGTTTCATTTTTATATATGAAAGTATGCCACTAAATTATATAATATGGATTTTATTCAGTGGAGCATAGATCTATGCGTGTATCATGACTATCCATCGCCAACTGTATCATAAAAATTTGTATTCCAATACATCAATGAATCGTCTCACCATCTAATGTGCTCACAGTTCCATTTTAAAAGCTTTATGTGAATTATTTTTAAATGAATATTAAACCGAAAGACATTTTGTAGCATATAGTGTGTAACATTTCACATGAGTATATTACAGAAGCAGGTGATTTTCCTAAGCATATGTGCATTTTGTATAAATATAAATGCGCTATAGATGCTCAAGACAGTTGCGCGATTGCCTAGGGCAAGCGAAATTATGGCCGGGCAGCAAATTTTTATGATATTATTATGATTATATAAATATAAATAAATTAGCAAATATAATTATGAAGGACCAAATAACTTTGATACTGTGACTGTAAATTCCCCAAGTATATGAAAAATAGAGACTTGACCACAAAACTAACCATGCAAGATAGCTTCATAAGTCATTACTGAATTAAGACTAATTGCATTCAGTTACCGACACAAGCTTGTCATCTTTTTGTTATTAACGTTCCAGCTATACACACAATTGTTTGTCAGTCCTGTTTGAGTGAGGTCGTTCAAACGTTTGCCATCAGTCTAGTGGGAAAGTACACCCTGGTCAGACATAAGAGCTACTGCCGTACTGGAAGTATTTGTTGCAACACTTGGGGGAAAAGTGTGGGTAATATTATACAATTCATTATTCCACAATATTGGAGCACTTCACCAAGTGATGTACCACACTAAGACCTTATCCACATTACCTCACCATCCATAGATTCACAACCATGGTTCAAAATTAATAGCAACTAGCTGCAGTTTTGTTATCTACAACTGGTTCCATTTGCTATCTGCTCTCAATGTTGGCAGCAAGTACTTGCTGTCTGGCAAAATAGGTAATTTCTAACCCTGATAACCTTTATATCACGGATAACACTTGATAGCTAGGGTTAGATCAAGTTAGTTAGGAGTAAGTTTGGATCGAGGATAGTTTGGCCAATTAGCCATATCATCCATTGTTAAAATTCATCTCGTCCAAAAGGTGTGACTACCTGTGAAATAGATATAGCTTCTTGCAAAACAACTAACAGAAACAAACAGATATATACGTGATGAATAATACACTCAGGGAAAATTACTTTTCGCAGATATGCCAACGCCGGTGGCCTAACACAAAAAACGTATAGAGTTGAGGCCATCCTTAAAAAATTATATGTTTGCTGTCCTCCGACCAACCCACGAAAATAGCCGCGACCCCCAATTTTTTTTTTGACATTTTGGGTTCAATAAGTTTTTGTTACATTTTTCATACAAGACTGAAACACAAAGCTAGGGACAGTGATTTTCCGCGATCGCGGAAAACGGACGGAAAACACGGAAACGGCCATTGGAAACGGAAAAATGCAGAAAACGCAATTTGAACATATTACATGGAAATTTCAATAAAATCATTAAAAAAACGTCGACAATAGCATTGGTAGTGATATGGTTTACTTTGAGACAAGTTTCAGAGCAAAATGACTTACAATTACGTCTTTTGGTAGCCCTGTGTTTCGGTGCCAACCCAACTGTCAGTCAGTGACCAAATGCCTTTTTTCCATGCAAATATATGTAAACGGAATTTTGCATTTTTGGTGTGTACAATCTCTATGGCAAAACGGAATTTCCATTATTTCTTTACTTTGAAACGGAACTCATGATTTTCCCAAACGGAAAAGGCAATTTTTTGAAACGGAAAATCACTGTCACTACAAAGCATGTGTCATTTGTGTGGCAAACATGAGGACAGACTTAAAATAACTATTATGCCTCGCAAAAAAAGGCCTAGCTACCTACTACCTACTACCCACTAAAAAAATAATGGGTCGGGGGACAGCAAACATAGAATTTTTTAAGGATGGCCTGAGCTACAAGTACAAGATATTGAAGATTTCTCAAGCCAATGACGACAGGACGTCATGATGAGACCTGCATTTTCACATTTCGAGATTGCTGACGTAAGCTTTATTTATATTTTAATCATACGGCCTGCATGACGTCACGATTCTAGTAACTATAAAACATAAATCTAATGAATAGAAACGACGTTGCATCCTGCCGTAACGTCAAATGTCGAAATGACCACCGGCACTTTTCAGGCAGCGCGAACGAACAAAGCCATTGCAAGAGAGCCGTAACATAATACTATCATTCCTCAGCCCAGTCTTGAAGTTTTAACATATACTTACCAATTCACAAAGAACCACAAGATATCTTTTCAAACGCTCGCAGAATGTATAAGACTATAATCTGCAGCAGGAGACGATTGTACGACGAACTTCTTCGTTAAAATATCTGAACTCTATCAAGCGCGATACTCAAATGGAGGGCAGCTGGGCAGCAATATTGGCACTGAAAGTGGCACAACATTCCAGCACAAATGTCACAATGAAAGTAATGTGGCATATTAAAAAAGTAAACGCGATAGCTGCTAATTAATTATTATTTTTTCAATGTGGTAAATTTAAGGATAATTTTTATTTGTAGGATAAAATTTTGTAATAGCTGAAAATTGTTATAGAAACCACTGCCTGGCAGCGGTAATGCGTCAAGTACGCCCCCCCCCCCACCACCACCACACTCACGCTACCGCACCACGTACGGTCCACTGATCTCTAACTTTAGTTAGTATTATCTATTATAGCAGGCCCGTAGCCAGCTTTCTATTGGGGGGGGGTGTCGTTTTTCAATGTTGGCAATTTGCTGCGCAGGGGCGTGTACAGGATTTGTACAGGGGGTCTAACCGTGACCCATAGTTGCGAGCACGCGAAGGGGGGTCTGGGGCCCTCCCCGCATAAATTTTTAAAATTACACCCCTCAGATGCGTTTCTGCGCGAGCAACGGGGGGTCTGGACTCCCTGGACCCCCCCTGTACACGCCCCTGCTCGGGCGCGAAGCGACCAGGCGATCCCTCGACCGAAGCCGAGCGACCGAGCGGGGGGAGGGTGTGGGAGGGGGGTGTTCACTGTTCACCCTCCCGCACGATGGAGATTTTGCAATTATTACACTAAAATGGAGCGACCTGAGGTAAAATTCTTGCACATTTAAAAAAAATAATATTTTTGCTTGGGGAGGGGCTCGGGGGGGGGTTCGTTCGAACCCCCCCGACCCGCCCCCCCCCGGCTACGGGCCTGTTATAGTATTAATATAAAGTTACAGTATATACTAACTTTAGCTTTACTTGTACTGCTACTAGACAGAACGGTAGGGTCAGCACTATCTAATGCTTATGTTCTGAACTTCTGAACCTAACCAATGTATGATAGGGTTGAGTATAAACAGAGGTCCAAGTGGGAATCCAAGAAAGGGATCACTTGTGATAATGGTCCATCGCCGTTTTTTCGGCGGTGCGCAAAACAGGAAAAAAATGTGTCGGGCTGCAACATGTGTTGTCGCGGCGCATCACCATTTTTTATAAAGTATATACATGTAAATATAAAACAACAAATTTATTGTGAAACAAACGGTTTGACATTTGTGGCCCTTTATTGTTCGCTGGAATAAAAGTACACATCAACAACTCACCAGCAAATTTAGTAATTTACTGTTGTAAATTTTAAAATATGGCTGAAAAATGTTACGCGATCGAGACTTTCTGGATTCTTAACGGGGCACCGGACCAGCATGAAGCTTGCAACCGGGACGATCCCGGTGAGACCGGGACAACTTGGGACGTCTGGTATAAATACCAATCGCAATAAGCATCCACGCACGCACGCGCGTGCGCACGCACGCACGCACGCACACACAAACGCACACACAAACGCACAACACACACACACACACACACACACACACACACACAGCACACACACACACACAGCACACCACACACACACACACACTCCACACAGACACACCAGACACCACACACCACACACACACACACACACACTCCAAACGCGTGTTAGCAAACAAAGTAGAAAATTAACATAGCAAATGACCCATATATCTGCATATAAAGCATTACCGGGTATTACTACTGTATTACATGCAGTGGCGTACGCAGGGGGGGGGGGTGTTTGGGGTGTTAAACACCCCCCTTGCCTCTGTCCCAAACAAACATTTAAAAAAAGAAGAGGAGAAGAAAAGGGAAGAGAGAGAGAGAGAAGAAAGAGAGAGAGAGAGAGAGAGAAAGTGTGTGTGTGTGTGTGTGTGGGAGAGAGGAGGGAGAGAAAGACGGAAAAAGAGAGGGAGAGAAAACAGAAGGGCCCTATTATCCTTTATTAAGTTTAGTATTTGTAACACCGGTCCCCTCCCGAGCTGTAAGAACAAGGTAGCCTATAACGCAGGGTAAGGAGTGTGTACAGAAATGAGATAGAGAACCCAAAATCGATCTGCTGCATGTTTCGCGAATCGCGATTTCGTACTATGAGTATCTTCGCTCTCTACTGTAATCCATATTGTGTAATCAGGAATTGTGTAATTGTGTGCTCGTGGTGGCAACTACATGACAACTCATTATGATTTTAATGAAACAACAACAAGTAAAATATGATATAATACAGAAAAATGTGCAAGGAACATGCGGTATTTTTAGGCGTTATTTTTATTTTTCTTCAAACTCGAGGGTACACCATCCCCCCCCTCAGCACCCCGCGTCCCCGCTCGCGAGTCACTAACACGGGCGTAAGATCCCGGGGGGACGGGGGAATGCATCCCCCTGCTCTTTGAAGGAGGGGATGGCCTGTACAATATATCCCCCACCTGAAATTCAAAAAAAGAGAGAAAAAAAGAAAGAAGGAAGAAGAAGAGGTAAGAGGATCCCGAATTACCAGACAGGTTATCAGCGTGGTTTTAGGTGCTACAGTTCAATGAGGTGCCACACAGTCGGAGATTCGTTAGATTCAGAATTGGATTGCACGCGCAACACATATTATGTCATGGAACTGTGTTGTGTTACATCGTGAGATTTCAGAAATTTCACCATTGGTTACTGCATCTACTCTAGCTATCAACGCAGCTTTTTAATAATAGCTAGTGAGGCCTATGCACGTTTGTTCGACTGTCAACGTGCATAGGCAAGACTTGTAATGTACGTAGTATGGAATAATACGTTGATTCACTAAACAAACTCACACAGCACAAAACACACACACCTCTCTCTGCTCTCTCTCACGCACGCACACACACCCGCAGCAGCAACGCACGCACACACACACACACAACAACACACCGGCACAGCACAATACACGCACAGCTCTCTGTCTCTCACACACACACACGCCGCGCGCGCACCCACACCTCTCTGTTTCTCTCGTCTCTCTCTTCTCTCTTTCTCTCTCTCTCTCTCTCTCTTCTCTCTCTCTCTCTTCTCTCTCTCTCTCTCGCTCGCGCTGCTTCTCTCTCTCGTCTCGCGCTCCTCCTCTCTTTCTCTCTTCTCTTTCTTTCTCTCTTCTCCATCATCCCTCCTCCCTCCTCCCTCCCCCTCTCCCCCCTCTCTCTCTCTCTCTCTCTCTCTTCTCTCTGTCGCATACACAAACAAACAACGCACACCCCTTCTCTCTCTCTCTCACAACACAACCGCGCACGCACTGCACCTCTCTCTCTCTCTCTTCTGACACATACACACCCTACGCAAGGTTTACGTAAATTTTAGCTTGATTAATCGCACCTAAAACAACCTCGTTGCGTACGCGAAATCGTACGCAAATTTACTAAATAACTGGCGTTTGATAAAATCGCACTAAGCAACGTCAATTGCGTAGCACACAAGATTTACGCAAAATATTTGCGTCGCAGCTTGATGAATCATGAAATCTACCCCTGGGACCCACCCGTCAGTGCAAGCGCACACAGTATCAGAGTCTACAGTTTCCAGGGGCGTGTACAGGGGGGGTCCAGGGGTCGGACCCCTACATGCTCGCGCAGAAAACGCATCTGAGGGGTGCTAATTTCAAAAAATCTCTGGGGGAGAGCGCCCCAGACCACCCCTTCGCGTGCTCCTAACACCCCCCTTTCGAAAATCCTGCGTACGCCAGTGACTGCATGTGCCATATTTCATATCCTTTGGTGGTATACGTACGCCTTAGCTGTAGTGTACACCAACAGGCGCGCCACTCACAGATGCCCCAAATGTCGCAAGCATACTCGTGGATATTGGAAACGGTATATTCGATCTATTTATCCGGACTTTGTACAATTTCATAAACATGCTGTCACTCTTTTCGTTTTCTGAAAATATATGATTCAACACCTCTCTATGATTATACCGCATCATACCTGTTGTCCATTCGTCCTTTCTTCATTCAACAAATACCAATTGATATACGTCTAATTAACGTTATCTGTCGCTATTTACACGCACTGACGGTAACATTAAATCCTTTGCTCCTAATTTGCCCTCCAATGGACTGCCGCTATAGGTCCATTACATCAGGAGTAGATAATAGGGATCCCTATCAGGGGCGTAGCCAGGATTTTCAAAATTGTAGGCACGACTATCTGAGCGGAGCGCCACCATCGGGTTGGCGCGGAGCGTACAAGAAATTTTTGGTTTTACAAACCCCCAGATGGCCGGAAACAGCCCTTCCCGAGTGTTCGATATCATT